AAAAGTCTACCTTTTCCCCAACCTGATGGGTAAGATGGTGTCCAAATGATGTCCTGAACCCTCCTCTAATAATCCCTAGACACCCTAGCAATGGGCCACCCTGACTGAGAATGATGGGATCTGGAGTCAAATGCATCAGGAGAGTGACATAAATCTTGAACCATTTACTTGATTGCCAGTGTTGGAAAGAAAAGGTCTGAAATGAACATTAAATCCTGTCATTAAATTACATTCAATATATGGTAGGCATATTGTCATGGTCACCAACGCTGCTGATGTATGCCCAGTACTTAGCAGACTAGGCATCTGGTGTGAGCTCAATAGACAAGTTAAAAGGCTTTGCTTTATCTTGTTTGCTCTTTCCCCCTTGGAGATAGTCACTTGGCAATACTGAGCAACTCAGAACCCAGATACAGTGACAAAGAACAGCAAACACATGAAATGTATTTCTGAAAGGGCAACAGCATTCATTCTGTTTTAGAAAGGTCTTAGATTAGCAGTGGGCTTTTTATTAACTGTCTTCTTGGCTGATAACCAGATAGGCAAAACCGAGATTCTGACATCTTTTTTCAGATCCTGTCTCAAGTTTAATTAGCATTTATCTTAATCTCATTTTAATTTTTTCACACCAGCAGCATAATCAAATGCTACTGCAGCATTTTTAACAATTACACTATATTGGCAGATAGAGACTTCAAGGAAGCTGACCTTTTTCAAGCCCAGACTTATAAAGAGTAGGCTGTTAATTATGTTTTTATTGGAAGATGCATCCCAACTGTGCCTGGCCATTTCAGCTTTGCTCTGTTTAGATAGGATTGAAAATGTGCTCTGAACAAATGTGGTGGGCAGAAAGAGCTGCTGGTGTACAAGGGGGGGCTCTGAAATTATAAGGAAAGGTTGCTTATATTTTTGTACTTCCGCTTTAATTGGGTTTATCAGCTGAAGCTTCAAGGATTAAATGAACTGACCTAAATATTAGGTCTCTGCTGGGGTTAAATATCTCCATGGCTATGAAGATTTTGTTTCCATAATGCCTTCGAGAGCATTTCAGCTTTGTATAGGAAGTGTAAAACCACGTTTGAATCATTTATTACAGCTCACACTGAGCAGTAGTTAGGTTGTTGGGAAATAAGCACTGAAAACAAATTAAATGGCATCTAAAGAAAACACCTGATCCATCTCCATCCTCCTGCAAGATAAGAGAGAAGCCACTAGAGATAGACTGATTAGAGCTGGGTGGCATTGCAGTGTTATTGCTGGTTTTGTAGATTATTGTCTCAGATAATAACAGATGGCAGAAGGAAAGAGAAATCGCCCATTTTCATTTTCAAATGACCCTTTATTCCCTGAGAAGGCAGTTTAGCTCTAGTCAAATCATAGTTCTCAAGCTATTTCCAGGTAGGAAAGCTTTATTTACCATGTTAGAATTGTTGCTGTTATTAGAGAGCATTTTCTTTTACCCTGGTAGAGCACATTGGGAAAAGTTCAGCAGGAGAAAAAAGCAGTATTCTCATAATGGTAAGACTCCACATAGATCCTATAGTAGTTACAGGATTGCTGAAATCCTGTTTGTGTTTGACTACAGGCTCAGCATATATAAACAAAGAAATATACTACAGTAGTTTCTCCATATTTGTGGGAGTTTGGAGTGCAAGGTTCCTATGAAAGTGAAAAAAAGTGAATATAAATCAAAATTGCAAATGCTTAAAAAAAACTTTTTAAAGAATGTGTAGGTCATACTTTCTCAGCCTTTGAAGAGAGGAGAGCAGAGGTACCCCCCGCCAATTCTTGCCAAGGAGACACCATCTACATATAGACTCCATCTACAGCTGTAACAAATCATGGTACTTTTAAAAAAGTAGCATTCTGAATTTTTGTCAGTAGTAATTTCTTAGGGTGGTGCTATCTTTTCAGGTTCAGGGAGTTTTTGGAGAGCAGAATTCCTTCCAGACTTCGTGGTATTCCTCGCACTGGTGAAGGTAATTTAGGTTTGCCACTTAGTGCACATTCTAAAGTTTGTCAACAAATCTCACCAAGGAAGGATTGATAGATCCTGAGATAGAAATAGGTTTATCTTTCAGGCTATGCTGTAAGGGGGCAGTTTAGTTCTGTCACTTAAGGTAGTATGTACACACTTGTTCTCTAAGGAGTTACGATGAAGCAATGGGTTAAACTCTTGTGCTGCTGAACTGCTGACCTGAAGGTTGGCATTACAGATCCGTGAGACGGGGTGAGCTCCTGCTCTCAGCCCTAACTCCTGCTTGCCTAGCAGTTCGAAAACATGCAATTGTGAGTAGATCAACAGGTACCACTTTGACAGGAAGGTAATAAAGGCATCCGTGCAGCAGTGCCAGCAAACATGACCAGGAGGTGTTTACAGACAACAGGCTTCTCGGCTTGGAAATGAAACAAGCGCACCTCCCCATGGCCAGAGTTGAGCACCGCTTCCAGGAAGCCAGAGATGAAAGGGGAAGCCTTTACCTTTGTTCTGTGTATTTGTATGTCATTGTCATTCCACTGTGTTAAAGGCATTGAAAGTTTGCCTATCTGTGTATTTTATAATCTGCTCTGAGTCTCCTCAGGGAGATAGAGTGGGATATAAAGAAAGTGTTATTATTATTATTACTATTAGTAAATTTATAGAGAAGCTACAATGGATGAAGCTAGAATTCAGAAAGAAAGCTATTTTTTTAGTTTTAAGAAAACGTTTTCCTAAGCACTGGAAACTATTACATACTTCTTGCCAGTCACTTCCAAACCAGATACCTTTCCCACTGCGAGGGTTAAACTGGTGACCTCTGAAACCATGTCAACAAGCTTTTTCTGATTCTGTAAAGAATACAAATATGTTCACAGTTTAGCTCAGAGATTACAAAGGCTAATGTCTCAGAATGAATTATTTAAAAGAGAAAGAAAGAAAGCAAGTCCTATATGGTGGAGTCAAGCATATTTCTGCTACCAGTGGTGTCAAACTGCATCTGTTGTTTTTGTTGTTTAAAAAAACTTTCTCCACCTTTTGCCAAGGCAGCTTGCAATGCTTATTGTGTGGTAGGAAACTAAGATTTAAAACTTTCATTGCCTGATTATATCCCCACCAATGACTGACCCCATTTCTGGCTTTCAGTAAAAGATGTGATGTGGACTTTGGGCCATCATTAGCATATGTTGGGATTTTCTTTAAAAACATTCTCCATTTCTCTTTCTCTTTCTTTCTTTCTTTCTTTCTTTCTTTCTTTCTTTCTTTCTTTCTTTCGAAATAACCCCAATGGGGGAGGCGAGAAGTGTTTTTGGCTGCATTATGTTTAGCTATACAACCAAGGCAAAACTATCCTCCTGTTTCAACAAATCCAAGTTTTGTGGGTTGTTAGTGTGTGTGTGTGTGTGTGTGTTTAAAATAGCTTGCCCATAAAATCCATATCTTTGATGCTGCGGAGAATTGTGCTCAGAAAGAAACTGTGTCTAAAGATCAAGAGCAAGGGGATTTTTGCTGATTTGCCTGCAAGGATATAAAAATGAAACATGCATAAGAATTAGGTGACTGTGCAGATGTACTGCTGCATGATCTGTATCTGCACCAGCCATTCAAGTACAAGAAAACATCAACATGTCCCAGGAAAGGCAAGTGCAGTGGAAAACCTGAGTCATTTCTAAATTGACTTAAAATAAATGTTATTTTTTGGTGTGGCTGTGCTAACTGAATCTGAAGGATCAGCAGTACTTGGCCTTTTGCTTTAAGGTTAAGTTGCTTCTGTATCAGTGTGGGGAGTGATAGCTTGCACAAAAGTAAAGTAGAATATTTTATTTTTAATGCCACTTTCTAATACTGATTCTAGCTTTCTCTTCCAATGAAACACATGATCTCTAAAGACACAAGTTCATCATGATTCAGTTCCTTCTCCTTATCTTTCCCCCTGCCCAGTTCTTTCATCTCTTTATCATCATGAGAAATAATTAGATAAGCTTAGTTCGTGGAGCCATTTAATTTCATGAGTCCACTTTTAAAGCATTACACATTCACAATCCTCTACTTGACTCCATTGGGTGGTTTTAGGGGCCTCCATTTTTGTCCTAGCAACATAGAATAGTGCTTCTCAGTTTATCTGATGTGGAAAACTGGCCATTTCACTTCTCAACATGCCAGAGACCAGCACTACATTTGTGTCCATTGGGTACAGGGACTGATATTGGTCCATGGACCCACACTTCAAGTGGCAGTCCTTTAGAGAGAGAACAGGATACATTCTTCCTGTGACCTCTGGCATTTACACTAAGCTTTGCAATACATGGATATGCTTCCCATATGTAACATGTACATCATATATATATATATATGTGTGTGTGTGTGTGTGTGTGTGAATGATTTCTGCCTTGTGTATTGGTGGCCCTTTATAATAAGGCATTATGCAGCAAAATTTCATATAATAAATTTCCAGCATCGCTATTGCTGTTGCTTACCACCTATTACAAGAAAATATGTTTAGCAATGATAGAATTATCTTTGCTTGCCAACAGAGAAGAACCATTTTTCAGTAAGCAACTCAGATTCTCTACTATTAAAATGTGTTGTAACAATGCTTAATATGCATCATGTATGTGGGATGATTCATTAGAGTAAAACAGTTTCCATCAGTGAGATTGTTGTGGGTTTCTGTAAGTAGCTGGGGAATTTTGAAAAATGAATGCCACTGAAAGCAAACAGAAATTCTGACCAGGGTTCAGTGAAACCAACTTGTAGTAATTCCAGTAGTTCTTCTCATGAAAAAGAAAGAAAAATCTTAAAATGGTTATTGTGAAGCAAGTAGTCATAGGTGTTCAAAGGATATGAAAATGGGCTACATTTGCTTCAATGTATCCAATCACACCTCTAAGTTTTCTAAGTCCTGGATACTCTTTGTGTTGATATTTTCCTGTAACCAGCGGGAAAGCTGAGCATCAACTCCTAGTACCATTGATTTGTCCTGCCTCTCATTGGTCTATGTCACCATCTTCCCTTTCTTCAGGTTTTTCGAACCGATCTAATAACAGCTATGAAGATTCCAGATTCATACCAGCTGAGCCCAGATGAGTACTACATCCTTGCTGATCCTTGGAGGCAAGAGTGGGAGAAAGGTGTTCAGGTGCCAGCAAATATAGAAGCAATCCCGGAACCAATTGTTAGGTAAGTGAGTCTGATGTTGTTTCTTCTGTTGGCATGGTGTCCCATTATTGTGCTACTTCCACAGAAAGACACACTCCAGCACCATGTTCTGCCTCAAGTGGGATAAACTGACCAAACTTTGCACTGAAATGATCAAAATAAAATCACCAAAATAAAAAAAATGATGAAAGTCTCTATCCACTTGTAAATGGTAAAGAAATATCACAACTTGGAATTTCAACTTTGTTTTAAAGTGGTGCCATATTGGAAGAAGTTTGCTTTTGTTTACTTAATATATGTGCCTAAGTAAAAAATGTTTTCACTGTCATAAGCCCCGGTGGTGCAGTGGGTTAAACCCCAGTGCCGGCAGGACTGAAGGCCTACAGGTCGCAGGTTCAAATCAGGGCAATGTCCTTGCAGACGGCCAATTCTCTCACACCTGAAGCAACTTGCAGTTTCTCAAGTTGCTCCTGACATGACATGTCATAATTTTCAGCATCTTGGGTATCTCAAATAGTAACAATGCCAATTAAATCTGTATCATTTCCAGGCAATGACAAAACAAAATGCAGAGGAACGAAAGGTGTTGTGCATGAATACATCTGCAATGCGCTGTAAAGCAAATAGCTAACATTTTAGGAATAATGGTAGATTCTGGATGTTTCTCTGGTTGTTTCTTGCAAGAAGATCACAACTTGGTGTCCTGCTCATAAAGCCTGAAACTTCATTGTGTGTTAGAGATAGACTCTACATGGATGTAATCAGTTCTACAGAAGGATTCTGACAACAGGGAAGAAGTAACAGTAAATCTCCCAATTTTTTAAAGCACCTTCAAGGAAGACTAAAGCAACCTTCTTCCTCTTTTACAGTCCTGAAGTCTGAATGATAGTTGTATTTAAATTAATATAAACAATTTTTCCACATTGCAGCACTTGTGTGAAAGTTTGGTCTGATAACATCTCCCTCCACCTCTCTCTTTTTCCTTTCTATTTCTCCCCCACCCGTGGCTTTCTGTGATTTTTCAAGTGAACTTTGATAACATTATCAAAGATCTTGGGGCTTTCTGCACTTGTCACTGTGGACGCTATTGTTGATCTGAACAAATCAATGTGTTTACAGAGCTCAACAGAATGTTAAGCACATTTAAGGTGTTTTCAGATTTCTTGCAGGAAATTCCTTTCCTCCCTCCTTCTGAAGGGATGGAAATATTTCAGTGAAGTCAATAACTGCCTGAAGCACAGCTTGCCCAGCAGTGACAGCAGCAACAGCTGTTGGTGGAGGAAAAGCTATGAAATAAACTTTCTTGCTCTCATCTCCTTCCGGGAGGATTGGGGAGTGGGGGAAGACAGAGAAACATGGGAAAACAATAAGACTTTAGAGTTTGAATGTCTCAGTCAGAACAAAAACCAGAGAAGACTGAGTTTCAAGTTGGCTTAATCCTTAAAGAAATGCTGGTTAAAATATCTATTTTTAACAAATGTTTGATACACAGCCACAGTCTTTTAGTCATAAAAGCCTTGCTTTAGAGTTGGAGGTTGATTTTGGTGCCATGTCAAGATGAAAAGTGATAGCTTGGCATTCCCTGGGGCCGGAGGTGCCTATTTAAAGCCAGACTAAACGGATTCACATTTTTGCAAGTGGGCTTGCAGGCAGGCAGTTTGTTTTAACATGGTCTGCTCTTTCACCCCTCCGAAAAGGCTTCTAGAGATTTTGGCCATGATCCCAACACAGGCTGAGCAAGGTGTGAAGCCTGTCTGAGTTAGACTTTGATCTCTAGATGTAGTGGCATTTTATCCATGGGAATTGTTCTGAGAACCCCTCCACATCTCATATTGTTACCATTAGCTTTCAGTTTTGAGATTGTAATATCTACAAGCATCTATGGAACATGCTCATTCTTTTCCATCTATGGGTGGACTTGTAGTAGGATTTCTTCATACCTTTGCCTTCTCTCCTAGCTGTAGACATCCTTACTCTGTACAGTGGGACCAAGGTTTCATTCTAGGTCAGTGAATGGAGGTGGAAACCACAGTTTCCTGTATCATCCAGGCAGGTACATCTAAATTTTTCAGTATTTCCTGTCACTGGCCATCTTAAGATTGCAGCTTCCAAACATTTCCCGCACACAGGTTGAAAACAATGATCACTCTTACCCAGAAATGTGTTTTATTTATTTATTTATTTATTTATTTATTTGTATTTTTTAAAAAAAACAGGTTTTAGAGTGAGGGCCGAGCTTTCAAATGGGCCAATTTATTAGAAAGTCTCTGTTAAGATAGAGTTCAGCTGTAATCACATTTTAAGGATTGATGAGCTACCTACTTTGCAGTATCATAAAATGACTGTTGTTAGCATAGAGTAAGGGAAAATCAGGACCAAGGGACAGGAAGGAAAGACAGGAGATATATGTGTGCATTGTTCTTAGTCTGAGTTCCTCAGGGACACAGTCATTTGTCCAGGTGTTTTCCATCATATACTTGAAGACAGTCCCTTTCAAAGGAGGAAGGTTGATTTCAGAAACAAAGTTTATGACTTATGATCTTAAACAACACTTGACACATATTAATGTATAACAGAACCATATGCCTTCAGTCATGTTCCTTACCTGCAATACTCTGGCATTACATTTTTGCTTTGCTGCAAAAACAAGCTTCAAACAAAACTGAGTTTATGGGGAAGGTTTTCATTTTTAGAGGGGGTTTCAAAATCACCTGAAAGATTCTTTCAAATGTTATAAAATCAGGCCTTGCTTGCTATTTGTAGAATTGCTGTTTGCAGACTTTCTGTGATGTCTAAACCACTTTTCCCCCTATAAAGATGAAGCAGTTACATAGCTGGCCCTCAAAGAGTTTCTCCGTCCTTTCCTAAAACACAGAGTGACTATCCTGGACTCCCATGTTTATAAAGGAGCAAAGGCTTCACAGTGCTCTCCGTGTTTAATAAAAGGGTAGATTGTTTGGATTGATTTTGTGCCATCTAAAAATAGTCACACAAAGCCCTCATGCCAAACAAACCTTGGAAAATCCCATTTCTTACCTATAAGAGAGGTTTTGCCACTCAGAAGGGACACGTAAATTACCATGAATCCTAGTAACTGTTCGCCTCGCCTCGTGCAATGCCCCCCCCCCCGACTTGCACTTTATGGGAGCAGTGTCTCTGTTTCTAAGGTAGCAGGTGAGCAAGGAGGTAAGAGTAGTTGGCTTATGGCAACAGTAAATGAATGAAGTAATTGCATATTACCTCTTTTTTTCCACTGAAACATTTTGTAATTTTAGACTTAAAGTGAGATTCTTCCTCCTAATCTCTGTGTTTTAATTTGCTGAAATGGAAAAGGCTCTTGGACCCCCTTTAACATTTTTTCAGAATGGAATGGCAGCATAAATGCTTCTTTGAAAGTGAAGATGAAGGCCACAGAGGGTTAGGCAGCCCTGTACTCTGTTGTGCTAATGCTGTCACTCTTGACAATGATTTACATTTGAAATTTCTAGAGGCCAAAATAGCCAGACAGAGGTCTAGAAGCCACAAACAGGAGGCAACAGCACATTATGACATATTTAGGAAATAGTTCATAGATAAATCATCTTCCATTGTTAGCATGTTTAGATAGTGAAGGGATATATTTTCTAGCAGGTGAGAATTGAAACAAGTAGAGCATCTCTGCCCATTTTTCCTCTTTTCCTAGAAGTAATATGTTTTTTTCAGATTTCATCTTTTACTTGGGAGACCATAAACAAACATCATAATACCTCTAGATGGGCCTCTTCCAAAGTGAAAATTAGACTCTTTTTAACCTCTGACTGATAAATAAACATTCTTCCTGTCCATTTTCCACATTTTGAAGGGCAGGGGGGGATTTGTTCAGAGTGGGTTTGCCATTGCCGTCTTCTGGGCCTTATAGAATATGACATGTCCAAGGTCATTCATTGGTTTTCCATGGTTGAGTAAAGATGTAAACATCGGTGTCCTAAAGTTCTAGGCTGGCATTCAACCCACTGTACCAGGAGTGGGGTGGGGGGAATTAATATGAAAATCAAAGCTGACATATGGGCTCAAAACTAACGCTGTTTGCAGTCTTATTGCTGAATGAATGCATCAGAAGGACTTCCTTGATGGTTTGGTTACATCTGTGTGCTTTTGATCTGGTCGTAGCCAACCTATCTGTTGTCCACTTTAAAGTGGACTTGATTCTAGGTATGAATTTTATTGCTTTCCATTAACTGTGTTCCTCTGCCCTTGTAACATTTGCACATGGGACTTTGGAAACAGTGGGTCACTCCCATGTCCTTGGAGGAGTTTTAGCCTGACCTTGAAATAAACTATCCAGGGTGCCGAAACGGGAGTGTAGTCAAGGTTCCTGGATGTCTCCTTTGGTGAGTGTTGGGGAAGGAAGTGAGATAAAGACAGAAACATGGAGACAAGACAACCATTTCAATGTGCATGCAAGGTAGTTAGTTTCCCAACAGGGACTGCTTGCTGTGCAGGAATCCAGCAATGTCAGTGGACAATGCTGTTCCACCTGATGGAGTGAAGCTTCTGATTCGGACCTAGAGATATAAAATTGCCAGAAATTCTGAATCCATGTTTTTTTTCACTGTTTTTCGGGGGGGGGGGGGGGTTTACAGGAAAGAAGGGGATGGAAATGTTTGTTAAAATTGGAAACATGTAATATAAATACCTTATTTTGAAAGTCATTTTGTTACATTATAAACATGTACCACTTGGTTGACACACAGAATCATCCTGTTTGGTATATTAAAACTACAGTGTGTTGAGAATATAATTGCAAAGTAAATGTACCTTTCAAAATGTCCTTTTTTGTTTCATATGGAGGTACAAGGTTTTGAAATTTAAAGAACACATGAAGTGCAAATGCAATCTACAGCTTCATCCAAACTGAGCAAATTTTAGTTTATTTTAACAAGAAGAAGGGGTTGTATGTTGCTGTTTTTTTTTGGAAGCTAGCCAATTTAAGTCTGGATTATGTCATTGCCATGTTACAACAAACCACACTTAAGATTTGG